CTGCACAAGACTTACAGCTACCACACCGTATAGTAGAGATGGGTTTCAGCTCACCATGTGGTTGAAGAAAATTGCAATCAACATTGTTTTATTGCATTATAAAGTTTGATATGTAAGGTATTTTACATTAATTTATCTTCTGAGTAAGAGCTCGGTATCTCTTCTCATTACTGAATAGACTCCCTAAGCATTTGGCTACAACTTCTGACTGGAAAAAACAAACAAGAAAGCAGGCCATAGAAACAAATGGTTAGCTAACAAACACAACAGTGAGAAGGGTTACAGATGTCATTTACATTCACCTTCATTTAACCCGTTTAAATCAAATAATGATGTTGGTTCATGACTCCCGATGATAAGACTGACCTTTCAGCGGGACTGATAAAGGAACACACAATTAAGCAAACACATATACCTGAAAGCATGGTTCAGGATCCTGGGGGGAAGCTGTACATTTTCTATTGACATTGGACTTATGGGAGTACTTAAATATTCTACACACATGGAGGCTAAATGTTTCATAGATGTGTCTATTTAACTATAGAGAAACTGAGAGGATGTCAGGAAGAAAGCACAAGGTCTAGTAAAGTGTTCTTAAATGAATAAATGGGTTGGTAGACAAACATTACGTATAAGTCAGAAAACTATATATTATTTATATCTACAAATAAACTCTCTATGGTATTTAATAATACACTGGCACGGCAGAAAAATAACCAGTTCAGAAGCTTATTCACTAGACTGTGAATTGTGGGGAATAAAAATTGATTTGCGAAAATTTGGCTAAAATATGAAAGTTGGAAAATAGCTGAGCTGGAAAATGTTTCTAACTCCAATATTTGTGTAAAATAAAATGATAATTTAGTTTTCAGTTCACAGCAATTTCCTGTTTAATAGAAAAAAAAAATTTCAGTTTGCCAATTTTGGACAGTAATTTGCAATTCCCAATACTTTAATAAAGAACAGTCAGGTTTGTGCATTCTCAGTAAGTGATTGTATAACAATTTTGCTGTGAAACAATACATGAGACTGATTCTCTGACATCCACAAGTGGCTGGTTTTAAAAGGACAGATGTGGTTTTAAACTCTGCTTCATAATATGAATAAAAACGAAGTGCCATAAAATTTAATATCAAACCAAGGCCTACATTGCAATCTGACTTTGGTACTGGATTTATAAAATTCTCTGACTTTCAGTCAGTATCACAAGCAGTTATCCAAACCATTACAATCCAAGCTTCACAGCCCTTTTTCAACCAGTAATGCTGCTGAGCCATTAAAAACAGTACTATTATTTTGATTTTATTGATAATATCAATAGGCTGATAATGCAAATTTAACAACAAGAAAAACAGGTTCCCCTTTGCAGGCTATTTCATTACAGCTTGATGGTTGCAGACTGCCAAGTGCATTACCAATTTTGACAGGTGTGTCAGTAATTGATTAGGCAGTTTGTCTTTCTTTAAGATACCTCTAAACAGATTTTTCAGATACTGTACACAGGCCAAATTGTTATGTTATCAATTAAGCATCATTGTAATTTTAGTTACATTGTGTTTAATTGTGTCCTTGAATTTCCGTAATGAATGAATGAAGTCATTAGTTAATATTGCTTGTACATGTCATCTAATCAAGGGATGTATTTGTGGTGGCTGGTTTGCTCCTGTTCAAAACACTGTTTGGGTATTGGTTATTTCTTGGAAAAGCATTTTTAAGTCCTATTGAAGTCTTGAATTCTTAAAATAAAAAACGTTTTTGTTGTTTGCTGTTTGGCCAGGATTGCGATTTACAAAATTGAGTATTTAAAGTAAAGTTGGGGCCTATCACCAGCTAGACAGCTGTGACTGACTCATTACATCTTTCTGTCACTGGGATATCCGATGCAAACTTATAACGCTACACAGAACTGTTTCTCCTTTCTTTTAATTCTGGTTTCCATTCTTTCACTCTCCACCCTTGATTTCCTCTAACCCCCTTTTTATCCTCTCCCTTTCCTCCTCCTCCTCCTCCTCCTTGATGCCTAGTTCCACATTATTTCCACTGTTACAATTATCACTCTTATTTGATACAATTATCCTGAATAAGCTCATATCTACCAAGTAGACTTATGCAAAGATATCGCAAATATCTCCAATAAAAGGGTATATGGCACTACAGCTGCGAACCAAAAATTGACGAAGGAAAGAACGATCATCCCCTAATTTAATAGTATTCAAGTTCCTTGTAATAAAAATGAACTAGCCGTATCATATTTCACCTGAACAATTAGCTAAACACTTACCTCAATCATGAGCAACTATCATCTTGTAGGTCATTGTGATATCAAATCTATTTTTTTTTCCAAAACAATATACAATCTAAACTTGGTATACTTGGCAGACAATGCTGTTATCGTACTATAATGACATTTTATTTTGTTTAGTTGTTTTTTGTATTATTGTTACTGATATCTATACTGTTCACTGTATTTAATTTACCTCAAAGCACTTGTGAGCCAATGGTACAACACATTTTTTTTCTTTGGTTTTGTATAAAAATGTATACAGAAATAAAAAAATATATAAAGGTCGCATTGTCACCAATTTGATAATGTTAAAAGTGGTGTCAGGAACTATTAAAATGGCAAAACTGTGATTGTGCAAGTTTTGTTAACAGCTCATCAATGGCCATTAACATAAATTGTAATGTGGATGTGAGATTGCAATATCCTTATTATTGACAACTCAAATACAATTGCAGTAATGCTTCTGTAGAAAGATTTTTCATGTTGGAGAAACTTTTGTACATGCAGACTACAAAGCTATAACCCAAATCAACTGCATTTAAATACAACCCACACCGTCACTTGAGACCTGGAGAGGATAATATCTCTGAGCATATGGGAATCACTTGGCCCAACGCTCACCTTTTGGTTAAGGCAATGATAGACTGAAATTTCTTTCTTCACAGTTTTCAAGTACTGACCAAAAGAGGTGACCTTGCTCCCATCTATTGTATTCATACTAACCATAAGCATCTATCACTGTCACTCCCACATACCAACTGTCTACATATATTTGGGAGATCGGTTGTGGACTTATGTCTCTGGAATTGTGTGAACGAATGCATTCTCAATTGATGGCATATACTTTATTTGAGTCTAGCATATGAATGTGTTTTAAACGGCATACACAACTACACAGACACATACCAAGAGGCCTTGCTACCAACATCGAGAGGGCAGGGTAACTGAAAACACTGTTCAAGTCGTCCATTCACAAACATATTCATGAATGCTCCTCATGTACTAATTTTAAATACTGTGCCACGGTTTAACATAATTAATTAATAAAATATTTATTGTGGGTCTTACATTCATCCGGACATCCTATCTTTATAATGATTAATCATCAGGCACTATTCTGTGTAGTCAATAACAAGTTTTTACAATTTTAATGCAAATATCTCATCTGGGTTTGTTTTTTGGCATTCTTTATTTTTGGTAGTGCATAGCATAACATACAAGCATTAATTAACATTTCTCATCTGAGTTTTTAATGTGATAAACACTGGCTCGGAATATAGTGTACAAAAAGATACATAGTGAATTATATATGACTGCTTTGTAAACGTAGCCTTTATAAATTGTGAAAGTTAAAGGGAAACTGATGTCATTTTTAAAAAACAAATCTCTGCAGTTAAAAGTCAGTATGTTGAGTGGGTAGAATGTACTCATACCTCCCAAGTATCCCTATTTGTGGCAAAAATGCCTTTGTCTGTCTTTTCTATCCTAAATGTCTCTCCACATATTATTTGTGTATCTAACAGGGTTATTCCCTAAATTCAGACTTCAAAATCTGGACATTGTTGATGGGATTGTAATTTTGGCCCTGAATGGGGACTGTTGAACTCAGGAACACATTTTGCAAATCCAATCCGGATTAAAAAAAAATATATAAGAATCCAGAATAACTGACTACTTAAAATATAAACACAGCTGGGGCATGGTTCGAATTGCAGCGTCAGTTCTTCTGAATTTTAATTTGGCCTTTTTTGGGGCTGAAGAACAGAAGACTTCTGAAGGCAAGTATAATTTTATATTTTTACAGGTTTTAGATGTATTGACACCCCCCTACTATTATTAGGATGAGGAGGGGTAGGAAGGAACTTTCATATTTTATTATATTTCATTATTTTTATCATATTTTAACTATTAACTATTTTTTTTTAAACTATTTGCCCAATGGTTGCTTACACTGCCAGCAGGCAAATAGTACTTCATATTATTAAACCACCTGCAAAAAGGGATTTTTCCAAAATCATCTGAAAGAATTTTACAGAATTAGTTGGACTGACTGAATCCTAACTGCATATGTCTTTAGTAAAAGTGCAAATTGCTAATTCCACTGGAATTAAGTCATTTTCGACAGATTTTGTCCATTCAGACAAAATCTGGTATTTAGTGAATAAGTGTATAACCAGTTCATCCATAAGGGCACTTGGGGCAACTCCCCACCAGTTTTATGTGGAGAACAAAACATATTTGAAGTAGTTTAGAAACAGTAATTATTTTTCTAGAGAGGAGGTTGGTAAGGCTTAAAACCCCTTACGCCCCTCAATGGTGTTTGGAGAAGCTTTCTTGAGAGTATCTAGGCATATCAAAGATTTGGCTGGTTTGAAACCTGCCCTATTTCAGAAGGGTTTGCACATGCCTATTGTCTTTTAGAAAATAATTTCCATTAAGATGACATTCGGGCAGCAAAGTCAGCTGCCCACGATGAAGGCATGCTATTGGCCTCTCTTCTCAGGGGCCATCATTGGCTGATAGCTCCAGGAGGTGGGGTTACAGAGAGACGCAAGAAGCCATCTTGAAAGAAACATATGGAGAGCATTAGAGCAGCTCCTGGTCCTTGCCAAAGGGAAGTGTATAATGTTATCTTTTTATTTCCTCCAATAGCCCACATGACTACCTGAGGGATGATTAAGCAAGGGAATTTACTCAAATTTAATATATAATGCATGGGAAGCCAAGAGATGACAAGGTGAGAGGGACATTACTGACACAGAGCACTGTGCTGCCTGTCACTAATAGGCTTAATACATACTAATGCACATACTAACCATCTTCTTTAAAGTGCTCATTCACTTTACAGCTGAGACATGAGACAATCATGCTGTGGCTAGTTGAACCGTTGTTAAATTTTAAATGGCAGGACTGGGGCTGTGACTCTAAGGACTGGTCTGATTCTGTGTTCAATATGTTTTAACCTAAAATGATTGTTACTTCTGCAATCTCAGCTACTTATTGGCTCTACATCGCTATACCATATTAATTATATTGTCAGCTGCAAAGATAAGGAGTTCATCAGTATTTATCTGCTTTAACCCTGTGTGGAGAACCAATAGTAAATCAGGAGTAGCTGAAATGGTTGGAATTAATCAGTGTCTTGATGCTTTAACCATGTGCACACTGTGTGCTGAGAGCTAATGGAATAGCTGACATGTTTCATAACAGCAGCGATATATAAAGCTAAAGTTATCATAGCAGGAGCACTACTGAAGATGAGGTTGTGAGAGGGAGAGCTAGGGCGATATAGAGAGCTGGTGCATTTTACAGACATGTGCTTTGTGGAGATATCTCTATTGCAGCTGTGTAACCCATCCTAGTGATCCTGGCTGTGTAGGATCACTCCTTACTGTTCCCAGCTCTCTGTGTTATTTCTCTGTATTTGACTCAGGTCTGCCTGTTGTACCTAGCTCTGTGTATGGTATAGGTATCTGTATGTTGTGGCCAGCGCTGTGTATTATAATCTCTATATTTTCATAAGATCTGTTTGTGTTTTTTGTTATCTCTCTTATCTAAAATTCTGGAGAAAGAGTCTGCCACCCCACCCTCTTAAAACTTTACTAGCTGCCACTGTGCATAACATATCTCCACACCAATAAAATGCACATCAATATGTCTACCTAGCTCTGTGTATGGTATAGGTATCTGTATGTTGTGGCCAGCGCTGTGTATTATAATCTCTATATTTTCATAAGATCTGTTTGTGTTTTTTGTTATCTCTATTATCTAAAATTCTGGAGTAAGAGTCTGCCACCCCACCCTCTTAAAACTTTACTAGCTGCCACTGTGCATAACATATCTCCACAGCAATAAAATGCACAGCAATATGTCTATTATATAAAATAAATCTGTTTATAAATCAGTCTGTGTAAATAAGACACATTGTTCTTTTTCTAAATTACATTTTAGTTGCATAAATTGTTATTAGTAAGTAACCTAACATTTCTCATGGATACACCACCACTTCACACCCCTAAACCTAAAAAGTATTGCTCTTTTGCATTTGAAATGTTGGGAGATATTTTAGCAGCACCATAACCATTGCAGTCATGTATATTATCGTCATGTTACACTAGCTCTTTAAAAAGTCATTCTAGACAGGGTAGCAAACTTGGAAAGGTTATAATACATACAGTCTCTTTGTTTCACAGCACACAATCGATTGCAAATACAGTGATTTATAAAATAAATAAATATAACTGCTGCTATAAGACTGCTCTCTGAATCAGTAACATCAAAAGTAGGATTTTACTTCCATTCAGTTACACATATACAGGTTTTAAGGGCTATATATACACATTTTCAAAGAGTAGCTCCTTTATCGTCTTCATATTCCTGTTCTTTGACAGTGCAAAACATCAAATGAGTCGGTCCAACTTGATTAATATAGAGCAGTCCATGTGTGTGGGTCTATGTGTGGCAGTAGGAGAACAGGTGCATACGCCAACACTACACATACACTGAACAAAATTATAAACGCAACACTTTTGATTTTGCCCCCATTTTTCTTGAGCTAAACTCAAAGATTTAAGACTTTTTCTATGTACACAAAAGGCCTATTTCTCTCAAATATTGTTCAAAAATCTGTCTAAATCTGTGTTAGTGAGCACTTCTCCTTTGCAGAGATAATCCATCCACCTCACAGGTGTGGCATATCAAGATGCTGATTAGACAGCATGATTATTGCACAGGTGTGCCTTAGGCTGGCCACAATAAAAAGCCACTCTAAAATGTGCAGTTTTATCACATAGCACAATGCCACAGATGTCGCAAGTTTTGAGGGAGCGTGCAATTGGCATGCTGACTGCAGGAATGTCCACCAGAACTGTTGCCCGTGAATTGAATGTTAATTTCTCTACCATAAGTCATCTCCAAAGGCGTATCAGAGAATTTTGCAGTACATCCAACCGGCCTCACAACCGCAGACAACGTGTAACCACACCAGCCCAGGACCTCAACATCCAGCATCTTCACCTCCAAGATCAACTGAGACCAGCCACCCAGACAGCTGCTGCAACAATCGGTTTGCATAACCAAATAATCTCTGCACAAACAGTCAGAAACCGTCTTAGGGAAGCTCATCTGCATGCTCGTCATCCTCATCAGGGTCTCAACCTGACTGCAGTTCGTCATCGTAACAGATTTGAGTCGCAAATGCTCACATTCAATGGCGTCTGGCACTTTGGAGAGGTGTTCTCTTCACGGACGAATCCCGGTTTTCACTATACAGGGCAGATGGCAGACAGCAGGTATGGCGGCGAGTGGGTGAGCGCTTGCTGATGTCAACGTTGTGGATCAAGTAGCCCATGGTGGCGGTGGTGTTATGGTATAGGCAGGCGTATGTTATAGAAATGAACACAGGTGCATTTTATTGATGGTATTTTGAATGCACAGAGATACCGCGACAAGATCCTGAGGCCCATTGTTGTACCATTCATCCTCGACCATCAGCTCATGTTGCAGCATGATAATGCATGGCCCCATGTTGTAAGGGTCTGTACACAATTCCTGGAAGCTGAAAATATCCCAGTTTTTGCATACTCACCGGACACCCATTGAGCATTTTTGGGATGCTCCGGATCGGCATATACGACAGCGTGTTCCAGGTCCTTCCAATATCCAGCAACTTCACACAGCCATTGAAGAGGAGTGGACCAACATTCCACAGGCCACATTCAACAACATGGTCAACTCTATGTGAAGGAGATGTGTTGCACTGCATGAGGCAAATGGTGGTCACACTAGCTACGGACTGTTTTTTTGACCCCCCCGGACTTCCCCAATACAATAAAACTGCACATTTTAGATTGGCCTTTTATTGTGGCCAGCCTAAGGCACACCTGTGCAATAATCATGCTATCTAATCAGCATCCTAAAATGCCACACCTGTGACGTGGATGGATTATCTCAGCAAAGGAGAAGTGCTCACTAACACAGATTAGACAGATTTGTGAATAATATTTAAATATGCCTTTTGTGTACATAGAAAAAGTCTTGAGTTTAGTTTATGAAAAATGGGGGCAAAAACAAAAGTGGTGCGTTTATAATTTTGTTTAGTGTAAATACACCCCTGATTGATAACATCAACACTACATACATACACTCCTACATTCAAATTTCAACACTACATACAACACACCTCTGCATTAAAAACCCAACAATGCGCACAATTTCATGACAGCATTCAAACGCCGACAATACATACAAACACAACCCTACATTCAAAGCAAACACTACACACAAGTACACCCCTATATTCACACACATACCCCATACAAAAACATGCTTACATTTCAATACTGTTCAATACAACTCTGCAAGGATGGGCAAATGGTAGTTCCCTAGCAAGCAAAACATTCTGGATCTTGAACAACAGATGGGGATCTACCTTTTTGCCAGCCTTGTGATGGGAAGCCCCGAAAGCTTTTTTTGCACCAGTGCCCTCTTTACGGGCATAATGTTTTGAGTTTAATGAGCACAAGCATGGCTAATGTTACATTTACACATTTTTATTTTGGAAAGACAGGGCGCAATCCCAGGAAAATTATACAAAGTTCTTAGACATGATGTACCACAAGGTACAATCCCAGGTTATCAACCAAAGAAGGCCATCTTACAGTTACTAATTTGAAGAAGTTGATACAAAATTTCTATCTCCCATAGAGACCAAAACTCTTACAGATGATTGTTGGTCTTTGGAAGCAGTCTGTTATTCAACAGGCAATAATAATGCAGCACCAGCATGTCACCAGTGCTGAAAAGACCCTTGCAGAATTACAGGGACCCAGGTAAGGGAGCAAACAATTGCTAGATGTATTTTCCCTATTACCAGTGAACCGGGACAGGGTACTCTGCATCTGGCTGCAGTGGTTATGATCCTAGGAGGAACCATTTAACACAGGCAGTTACACCTGTTATCTTGTGGTCCTGTATAAAACATAGATGATTAAAAACCTAAACAAATATATGGCAAAACTGGATATAAATGATAAACTACAAGTTGACTCAGAGATAGGCAAATATTGTTTATTAGTAAAAGTTATCCTATTCCATACTTATTTCTGTGTTTATATAAAAAAACAAAAAAAAAAGTATGAAACATTTCGAAAGATTTTTCCAATGAAGAAATACTAAATGTGTGTTTACGAACTATCTAGAGCCGTTTCCTTCAAACCTGGTCAAAGGAGCTAAAATGATGTCTCAACTTGAGTTCAGGCAAGTTAATCAGTGGCTCAGTCACATTCATTATCATTTACATTGGTTGGAACTGCTTTTTCAGAGTAAACTGCTCATCACACAACACTCTGCTGAATATAAAATAATAGAATAAAGAGCTAGATTCTTATTTATAAAGTATACTGTAAATTAAATGTTTCTGCAAAGCACCGTAACAATAGTGAAGCAGTGCATCATTGAATTCATTGTACACAGGGTCAAACCTCGATGGTGTGCAAGCACAGCAGGTTGTCAGGGTAACACAAAATTGCTTGCTAATATTTATTTTCACTTGTTTGAACACGTGTCAGAAGAAAGCCCCATAACAATCACAAGACCTTGTCCCCTTAAAACAGAGTTTGACAATCCAGTATTACATAAAGAGCAGAATATTTCATTAATGATGTGTGAGGTTAAGCTTACAAAAATGTTCATCTTAGGTTATCCAGTTTTTGCTTATACCAATACTGTATATATCAAGCTCGTTTTTGTTTGTACTTAACTAGAAAACCTATACATTTCATGTTAAAAAAATAAATACTTTGAATAAACTTGCCACTAGAGGAACTTCCGTTAAATAATGCTTTCCTATGGAGAGGCCTAATGCATGCGCGCGGCCCATTGCCACGCGTGCGCATTAGGTCTCCCCCGTCGGGAGGAGCGTGTGTGGAGCCTGACCCAGCGCCGAGGGACATCGGCGC